AAAAAAAAAAAAATAAATAAATAAATAAAAATAAAAAATAAAAAAAGACTCGCGAAAGCATACACCCTCAATAAGGTGTTAATAAGTATTTACGAAACTCTAATAAACTATTTTATGCACTCATATTTTATTGTACGCAACACTAATAACGGAATATTGCAGCCATATGAGAAGCTGCCGTTGTATAACCATCCTTGTGCAGCTCTTCTTCTAGCTGCGATAGGCAGTCCAGGAACGTGTGTACTTCCACAATCCAAGTGGAAGAAATATGGGCAACATTTGTTAAAACGCAACACTACTTTAAGCAACGCGATCGTTCATTAATAACGCAACACTAATTCTTAAAATAAATTTAATACAAAACTTGCTATTATAAATGAAAAGCTACTTCAAATATCTCATCAATAAATTGTAATACTATACAATAAATTTAATTCAAAAAAAAAAAGATAATAAAAAATAGACTAATTCATAATCAAAATAATTAAAATAATCGCTATAATATATTTTGTAACGCAATACCATGAAAAACGCGATCATCATTTTATCGCAACACTAATTCAACCCGTATTTTATTTAACGCAACACTAATTCAACGCGTACTTTATTTAGCGCAACACTAATGCAAAATCGCGAGTTGCCCACGACGACTGGATAAACGATGGGCCAGCATGCAAATTGGCCAAAACAATACAACATATACTATGTATTACTAAAACGAGCACAGTGACAAAGTAGTAACAATGACTTCCCATTCTTTGGATCGAAGCAAGATTGAAAAAAATGAGAAGCCATTCGTTGCAGCCCCTCTTCGCGACAGTTTGTCGAGGCCTCTTCGATCTTCCTCCTTCGGGCGCGATGCCCGCTGAAACTTAAATCTAGGCTCGAGATTCGCTAATCGTAAACAAAAAAAGAAATAAAAAAAAAAAAGACTAAATCGCGGAAACTAGCACATGGACGACTAATGTGACCATTGTCCGTACATGTGCAGAATCTCGAGCGCAACGTTCGTTTCGAAACCAAATCGCGACCGCGACCGCGAACTCGAAAGATCGATGAGCGAAGCCAGAAACGAATGATTCGATGATCATTCGTCTCGGCCTCGCTCTCGATTTTTCAAATTTGATTTCCTGAAACAGGTTGTCACGCGAGAAACGCGCCTACCCGAGCAGAGACTGTGACAACCTGCCCGGCCCTACCTACTTATAATTAACATTCGCACCAGAAGTATACTACCTATCCTACCTAGCCCTATATTTAAAAAATATGGCAAAACGGGCACACCAACACATTCATTCAACGATTCTCACGCATAATGCTCGAGCGCAAAAAGCCTACACTAGGGAAAACGTCCCGGGACGT